GGCTCCGCCTCGGCTATACCAAAGCTGGGCAGTGGCAGAGACCTGTATCGAGCGGGCTGTCGGGCTAAAGTGGGCGCGGAGCGCAGAGCGTTGTCGGGCCGTGTCCGCTCGCTCGACAAGCCAGTGCGGTCCGCTCGCCCGCTCGGTAACTTTTTGTCGGGTTGTCGAGCCGGCGGGTCGGCCCGACAACCCGGTGACGTCAGGCTGGGTGGAACGGAGAGGGGGAGCGCGGAGGGACTGCTAGCCTGCTGGCGGCACGGAAAGGCGGAGGAGAGGGGGAAGGGAAAACCGTTCCCGCCACTTTGCTTGAAACCATCGGGAAATGGTCTCAGTGCCAGAGCGCGGGTCTGGAGGCACGGGAGGATCCCGTAACTGCCGTCGACTTCCAGTTGCTATTAGAGGTACGTTCGTACAAAGGATAAATGTATCGTCTTTGACTATACCGCCATCAAATACACCGCCCCCCCCCAAACATAAGGTCGAAAATGTGAGGTTCTGGCTTTCAAAAATAATGGAGCGCAGAGCGTATCTGATTTTGAGTTAACATGTCACTTTATATTTCTTTCAAACGTCAAAGAAAGGGAATTTGTCGCCCAGACAGGTGCAGCTGCATAAAAGGGAACATTTAGAAATTGCATTGATTTTATTATCAGTGGTCACTAAATATAACAAATATTCAGTCATGCAGTCAATTTTTTCTAATTGTGACATTTTAACAAAAAAATCATTTTTACAAAATATTTTACTTTGTACTATGTAATCACAAGACTAGAAAATAATGGTTAGGACAAAAAGACTAGAAAATAATAGCTAGAAAAAAAGACTAGAAAATTATAGCGGATAAAAAAAAATCTTTAGTTTTGCTGGAATAACATTAGGATTCCTTTTTCTCATTTTGCTTGTTATAGTCGTGAAGGAAAACCACGGCGTCCAGTGTCTCTGGACTCATGTTGGATTTTCTTTCATTTTTGATCCACCCACAATCGCTGAAAACTGTCTCACTGTGGGCACTGGTTAGGTTCTTTGGTAGTTCCCTTCTTGCTAGCAAAGCAAGCTTAGGCAACTCATCTGGCCCTGACTAGGAAAAAAAGTAGACAATGATTATGTACGTTTCAGAATTATAAGTTCATCGCGGCATAGAGTACAAAAATTATTGTTAATACCATGGATTGCCACCATTTGAGGAGATCTTCCAGCTTTACATTCAGAGGCGCCATTTCGACATATTTGTCGACCTCGTCTGCGTGGACTGGGAGTTGTACACTTTTCATGCGATACCTCTCATACCCCTTTTCTAGTTGTCTTTGTTTGGGTAAAGAGGGAGGTGGCAGTGGTGCAGGGTCGTCGGGTTCTCCTTCTCCAGCAGGCTCATTGGCGACAGTATCCATCCGATGGACCTCATAGGACCGTAACATTGAGCGCACCATTTCGTGCACCTACATATGTCAAGACAATAAGAAAATTGAAGCATTACTCCGTGGCTGCGCGCGTTCTACGGGTTAATTACTCCTAGGGACTATTAAATAGGTGCGTCCTACGCGAGGCTCCACGAACTACGAAGTAATACATACCTCGCTTATTTCGTCGGGGTGCAGCATGGCCAACTCTTTGTAAGGAGGCCACAAAAAGAGAGCCACTTTGTACCTCATCTTCACTTCTATTTTCTCTTTTAGAAGGCGGAGACAGCGCGCTCTGAGCATCGATAGTGTATGTGAATCCTCAAAGTTAGAATCACAATGGTCCGTGAGCCTAGTAATGGAAAGCAAAGCAAGAGGCAATGTTGGATATTTCTTCCCCTGGATCTTTTTCGTCTCTTCCTTGAATGGCTCCAAAAACTCCAACATAGTTTGGAGGTCTTCCTTGCCAATGTTATCCATTTTTTTAGCTTGTCCCTTTTCTTGCAGCATAACAAGTAACTAATGGAGGAAAATAAGAGAAATTAGATATGTTATGATGAAATGCGCAAAGTTTTTCGAGTGGTAATTATTCGAGTTGCAGAATGCACCCTTCGGTCGCAAACGCGTTTTAAAGTTAGCGCCGAGCGGATGGGACACTACTCGTTTGGCGTCACCGCGGTGCAAGTGGTGGCTTACCCACTAGACGCTCACGTTCGTAAAATGAATCTCTAACGCACCCGAAACCCCAAACCCAGGCACGGTTTGAGCCCGGGACCCGGGAGAGGGAGGGGTGGGAGCGACCAACCACCCGCTGTCTCTGAAACAGGCGATACCCCCCCCCCCCCTGGTCAACCCAAATCGCCCCCCACGGTAAGTAGGCAACTTGTCCTACAAAACCCCTGAGAATAGGCAACCCACAGTAATCGCCCCCTCCATCCGCCGGACTCAAAACTGCGTCTGCTCTGAAATGTAGGCGAGCCGGACTCAACCCTAAATACAAACGCGTTTTTGTGGTGACTTACTTCGTCGTATACACGGTGCACCGACATCAGCAGATTGTACATTGTATTCCACCTTGTATCACACTCCTGCTGCAGAGTGTAGCGCAGCTCACCAAAGTGGGCTCCACCAGCCGATCTCACATAATGTACTAACTCTTTGCATTCGTTGACAATGACGAAGTTATCCATTAGCTGCAACCATAAAATTGGCGAAAAAGAAAAGTAGATTCAAAATTACAAAAGTTACGGAAATCTTCAAAACAAATATACACTGTGAAAAAAAGTAGGTAGGTTTACAGGAAAATTTTCCTTGACGCAAGTCGTAAAATTACAATTTGAAATCGTAAAAATACATGCAGTATGTATCGACTTCAAATCCCTTGGCGAGTAAAAAATGTGCTGTCGTAAATTTACAACTTAAATTGTAATTCGAGTTTACAAATTTTTTGTAAATTTACGACAAAATTTTTCACAGTGTACAAACCTGCAATTTTTCAAGAAGAAGCGTTTTGAGGTGCTGAACCAGTGGAGAATCTTTTTTAAATATTTTGTAGGCAGTTCTGAGAGTTTGGAGTTTTTTTAAGGGGACACTTTCATTTTCTTCGATCGGCTTTAAAATTATCGTGATGCTGCGGATATCATCAGCGTATGCCAATAATGTATCTACAACATCACCTTTCTCCAAAGCTCTCAATACTGTGTGAACCTGAAATGAAAATCACCAAATTGATTTCTCAGTGGCTACTCTGACATAAGATCAAAATTTTTAATATTGTTGTTTGTGAAACAAAGAAAAGAAAATAGACGAAAATAATAGCGACGACATACCTCTTCTTTGTTTGCCAGATATGACAAAAGGAGTTTAATGTAGGAGTGCCGTGCAGGAAAAGCAAAGTCTAAGGCCTTTTTTAGATCTGCCAAATCTACGTCAGTACTATTTGCAGTCAGCTTCATAGCTTTTACAGCTTTTACTGCAGTAGATACAGTGTTCAGTACACTACGGGAATGGGGGGACTTTTCAATGTCATCTACTACACTTCTCAGTTCATAAAACATGAGTGTGAATGTAGTTTGGAGAACAGTGTTTAACATGTGTGCCATGCAATCGTACCTACTGAACTCACTCAAAGCTTTGATCATATTCTGACCTTTATCGGTAACAAATTCTATCTTTCTAAATTCCGTCTCTAAAACTTTAAGTTCTTCAATAAAAAAATTTTTGATTGAGAACTTTATATTTTCTGCCGTAGCACATTTGAAGGCAAACTTTTTTACCCCTAGTATGTAAGCTTCCATTTCCCAGTCATCATTTGCAAATTGGATAGTGAAACCAATGTAGTGAAATTTTTTGGAATAGTTTTCGGTCCACATATCAGTTGTGGCTCCACACCTGCAAATAAGATAACGTAAATTTAAAAATAGGAACTTTTTGAGTGT